AAGGGGGGGGTGGAGGGGGTGTGTGCACTTTTCTTAAAATAGCTGTCTCGTCTCATCTTCCCATCCCTCTTTCCGTTTACCGCCCCCCTCCCCAGCCTGAGTCTTGCATGTGACCAAAGTGAAGTGACTGTGGAAGACTGCCGTGCTAAGGAAAAACGCCCTAAGAGCCGTCAGACGTCGCCAAATTTCTTTTGAAAAATCACGAAATATCGGTAGAATTCATGAATACTCCTCTTCTTAATTATGAAGGAATTTTGATTGCAATTTTATCTGAAGCGCATGAAACCTTCAATGAAAAATTTTAATGACTTTATTCAAATTTAAATATGTTTTAGAGCAAATTTGGCAACATTCGATTGGCCTTATGACGTTTTTCTTTAGCACGGCAGAAAAGGAACTCTTCAGAGTAGATGAGACCTGTCGACCCAAATCTGCCGCGAAATATATTCTTTCTCGCGATCGATCTGAACGCAATCAAACCGTGTTTGCGACACTCGTAGATGCCGCTGTTTTTTCATGCTGGCTAAATTACTGAATGGATTTTTTGGCATAAGATTTTGCGACTCAAAAAGAGCAATTTTTCGAGAAAACAGCAAAACTTCACCACTTTGCGCCGGTCGATCAGTCAAAAGCCTTCAAAATCCCTCGAACGAAGACACATTTTCACAGCGTGGATGGTAAGAATTCATAAGGGCATACATGACATTATTCTAAGCTCTTTCTATTTTTGACCAAAATTAATTAACCCTTAATGGACACATTCTTCGCTTCACCGTTCAGAATCGAGGAGTGAGATTCGGTGCCGAAGTCTATAAAGCGTCCAAAAATCCCAAGTGATATGACTGCAAAATACTATAACACCATGGAAGCAAATGACACTCCGCAAAAAGAGTCGATTTTGCTCCGCTATAGTGAAAGATACTTCGAGTGAAGAATCGATTCCACTCTGCATTCATATCACTTGGGGTTTTTGGGCACTACATAGACTCCGGCACAGAATTTCACCCCAAAATTTTGAACAGTGTTTAGATTATTTCTCTGTGTGTAGTGGATATTCAGGAGGTTCGGAATTGAATTGAAAGACAGGTAGCTGAGAGAAATGAGATACGTATGGATTTCAGCTCAATGAAAGGGGAATTTGAATAACAGGAGAATTGGAAGAGGGGAATTCGATGGCAATAGACTGCATGGCGTCGAACGTCTGAGTATGAGGATTAAAAAGAAAATCGGAACGCGTCAAAGCATATTAAAATATCGACGATCAATAACGCGTCGCTCCGTTGCATCTTGAAATTGTCGCTTCATTCTTGTCTCTAAAAAGTGTGTGAAACACTTTGTGTAGTTGATTAGGGAACCTTGAAAGAACAAAGACTGTACACATTTTAGTAGTGAAGACCAAGATTATGTAGCATCGTGTCCAAGTAGATTCCATGCTCACCCTTAGTATGATTGCCTGCTCATCTCGTCCAAGATATTGGACTCCATGTTCATTTCTAACTTGTTCACTTCTTTGCTTGAGCATGAAGTCCAATAGCAAGTAGACATCCCTTGGTTTTAAAGTCCACCCTTTCTTCGTCATAATAGAAAATTGCATACTTTTCTTATCTAACCTAACCTAACCAACGCACAATTTCATACAAGGCATATTGATTTCGTCTTTACTTCCTCAAAATTGTTTTGATGAATTTTTGGACTCTATACTCGTCTAATGTAAAAAATATCTGCATCCCACAAGTTTGGACGCTGTGCTCAGTTTGCTTTTTTAAAAAAAAAAACTATTCCTCATTAAAGTGAGCACGGAGTCCAAAGTCTTGGACTTGATGAGCAGTCGAGCATTATGGTGAAAGGGTATGAGCATGGAGTCAAATATCATGGATGCAATGCTACATCACCAAAAACAGCAAGGGTGCAGATTGTGCCGATCGACCGATCACAGACCGATCGGGGAGCAAATAATAAAAAGGCACCTGGAAGAGGAGGAAAAAATGTGAAGGCAGAAGGCGTAAACCTGCTAGGTCCATACTTTTTTGCGAATGAAGCTAAGTAACTTGTGTAACTGTGTAACTCGTGTAACTCGTGTAACTCGTGTAACTCGTGTAGCTCGTGTAGCTCGTGTACCTCGTGTAGCTCGTGTAGCTCGTGTACCTCGTGTACCTCGTGTAACTCGTGTAAATCGTGTAACTCGTGTAACTCGTGTAACACGTGTAGCTCGTGTAGCTCGTGTAGCTCGTGTAGCTCGTGTAGCTCGTGTAACTCGTGTAGCTCGTGTAACTCGTGTACCTCGTGTAATTCGTGTACCTCATGTAACTCGTGTACCTCGTGTAACTCGTGTACCTCGTGTAACTCGTGTACCTCGTGTAACTCGTGTATTTCGTGCAACTCCTGCAACTCGTGTAACTCTTGCAACTCGTGCAACTCGTGTAACTCGTGTAACTCGTGCAACTCGTGCAACTCGTGTAACTCGTGTAACTCATGTAACGCGTGTAACTCGTGTAACTCGTGTAACTCATGTAGCTCGTGTACCTCGTGTAACTGGAGTAACTCGTGTAACTGTGCAACTCGACTTCACGCGCCCTATGATTCGGTCACGAAGGAGTAACCAATGTAAAACAGACATTTGATTTCGCTTTTATTTCGCGCAATGGCGAGCCGTGAATGATCGACCATCGATATGGACCTATTTATCGACACCAACACCCAGTTTATCGATAATTTCTCATCGATTTAAATGGTAGATCAATCGATATATCGCAAAGCACGCCACGACACTGGTTTCGCGCAGGCGGGCCGAGGACGAGGGATGAGGCACTGCGAAAGCCAGACTACAAGATTCAGTCACGGACCCCGCATAGAAGGAAAGTGTCCCCTTAGCCTTTCTCCTTAGAGCTGACCCGATTCAAGTGTAAGATAAAACCCTCCGTGCAAAGCCTCAAGTATTCAGGTTACCAGAGCCACTTTGTTTTATCCCCCTTTTTTTACAATGCTGGAGGGATTTTCTTCGAACAGTCGCGGCGTTGAAGTGCACGGATGCAAGCTCTTCGCACTTAGAGACATCAGTGGTGGAGGGAATCATTTTTTTCACAGATTTTCAGATGATTCTGTATTTCTAAAAGTATAATTTCTCTTTAAATGAGCAGAATACTGGAATTGGTGGAAAGTTCAGAACACTGAAAAAACATTCTTTGTCCTTACGGCTATGCATGCACGAGCATGGACCTGGTGCGGACACAATCTTCGGTTCATATAGAGCACATAAGCTTCTTTAGACCGAGACAAATTAAGTTCTCGGTAAACTTCAAGTAACAACAAAACTCCAACAAAAATTTCAGTTGCCTGAATTTTAGTTCAATTCCAGGGGCCGGAAACTTCATCTAAGAACTGGAATTGAGGGCCATGGATGTGCAGTTTTTGAAAAATTGAGTTATTAATAATTTCGAGTTAAAGTTGTCTTAATGCATATTCTGTGAGAAATCTGATCCTATCATTATTGAGGCGGCAGCGATTTCAATATGGATCAATGATAATACAAGGAAAAACTTGAGAGTGTAATTTCTTCTTCCTAATCTTCTCTTATACCTTTTGAATTGGTTTTGGAAATTGTTATTATTTCTTACACTTTACGTAAGTTTGAATGAGGGAACATGTCTAGGCATCCATAAACCAATCAGCAAAATACAAATATGTTATAGTATGCGATATAAATTTTGAAAAGATAATTCGTTGTCTTACTCGGCTGGTAAATCTCGTAAATTAACATTTTTTAATTAGTATAACGAAAACCCTACATAATTTGCTGTTTAACGAGCTGAGTGAGTGATCATTGTAACAACTTCGTTACAGACATTAAAGGGGATAAAGGTGATTGATTTCAGCAGGTGATTAATGCTCTTATCTGATTAATCAAGTGTGATAGTGACTATTATGATTATCGAGGTGGCTTCAGTCTCGTGTCGGTAATCTATGTGCGATCCAAAGAAACGTGAATCAAAAAGTTGTGCCGATGGTTCATTGTAAATGATTGATGAGAGGATTCCTGACATATATATGAAAACTGACCTCGCGGCTCAGCACATTTTTGTAGATTAAAATTAAGATAGTATCCACTTGAGGTTCCTTTCGCCAACGGTTATTCTAAGTGAGTGACTTAAGATTTTGAAATGTGAAAAACACAATTAAATGAGTGATGTGCACCAATTCGACGTCTAAGAAAATTAAGTAATTACAACTTAATTGATAAGTAAAGTATGTATCTCAATTATTATAACTATTTTTGAAACCTCTAAGAGCTGGAAGCGTAGATATTCATGTTTCATAAATATGTCCGTCTAAACATAAAGGGGATTACGACTTTAGGAAAATAATCGACGATATACACTTGCAGTATCACGTCAGTGCTTGAATGGTTACCTATATGAATTGTATCGAGCTCCTTATCTATTAATTAGTAGGGTGCTCATTGAATTGGGCTGCTAGTTTATATTTTTCATGGAAGTAAGATGGATTTTCAACTTATTTTTAATCCTTTCATTGAATATTTACCTACAGCCCTTTTCAGTTTTAGAATTCTATGATTGATAGCATAAGTTTCTCATAAACTGCCTTTTGTATGATATTTAATGCAAAAAGTATTTTTCCTGGAAAAAATAAGCCAAAAGTGGTTATAAAATACATATTCTATAAACCTCATTTTTTAGCTGTTCCCAGTCTCCGAGAAATCGCATTTTCTAAATTATATTGAACGTTTTGTTCCAGAACTCACGCGGAACGAGCAAGAATTGCAATGTACACAAATGCAAAGCTGATTCTATTTAAAGTGGCTTAAGTGAAATAAGTAAGTTGAATAAGATGCGGATTCGAAACATCAAAACTTCATAAAGTAATTCATGTCGTTTCAGTCGACGCAAAATTCTTAAACTGTTTTTTTTTTTTTGCAAAAACGGAATGGAGCTATGGAAAAATCAAATGTATAATCAAGCTCCCGTGACTTTTTGGTGATTTCAACTTTAGGAAGAGCATTTCCACGGGACCTTATTAATAAATCGAGTGAAATGGCTATCAAGTTTATACCAAACTTTCACGTAATCTTGTCCGTGAACCCCATTCATTTATATGAAACCCTCTCTTTTCAACTCAACGTCGGTTTCACCCTTGTTTGGCTCTTCGTCACGCTCACCTGCACGCTTGGTGTCAATATTTGAGATAGAGGCTGTTACTATAGCGTCCTAACGCAGAAGTTTATTAATTGTTAACCTGATGGACTTCATTATAATAGAAAAAAATACAAACAAATCACAACAAGTGTTTTTTTTTTAATTAATCTGAGTCCCTGGTGCGTTTCTCGGAGCCTCAACAGTGTGTTTCAAGCTATTCACAAACTCTGTCGAATCTGTGCATGACGCGTGTTGGCTGTTTTTTCTACACTGCCCTACTGAGGAAGAACGCCGTATGAGCCTTCAAGCGTTGCCAAGTCGTCTTTCATAAAACACGAATTTCCTGGAAATTAATGAATATTGTTCTTCCAATTTTTCAGATAATCTTGCCCGCGATTTTAGCGAAAAGTCCTGAAAATTTAAAAAGAAAGTATGCATAACTTTCCTAAAAATGAACATTTTATCGAAGGAAATTTGGCTACTCTCGCATGTCCATACGGCATTCTTCCTTAGCACGGCAGTACAGCATTCCCAATAAAAATCCTACATTGTAACGCCTGTAAATGAAGTGCTGGAGGGAAAAAACGGAATACAGAATTTTGTCGAGGTTCTCCCCAAAGCGATGAGGAGACGATTTCGATTTCATATCCTGCACACCCCGATTCGTCTTATTCAATTTTTCATGCTACATTGAGGCAGATTTTATTCCCTTGCAGGCATTAGGGTATAAAAATCGCACCTACTGAAAGTGTAGCATGAATTTGAATTTGGTAGCACATTTGTTACAACTATCCATTGAATTTCATCAGTTAGAGAAAAATGCACTCACACTTTGAATGGAAAGTTTGATAATAGGAATTAGACATAAAAAATTCGAGAGTTACGGATCTTGTGTGTGAGAACAAACCATGCTCAACTTATGTTCCTTTAACGAATAAAAGTTTAAGGAAGTTCTAATAATATACAGCAAAAACTGCAGCTCAAAAAAAAAGTTAGCCGAATATTCCTGCCATGAAAATGTTGAAGGGTCAAAGAATTACGTTAGCTTGGGTTGCGTGCATCAACATATAGTTGTTCTAACTCGCAGCTTCTTGTGGTTTTTCAATTCTTTTACTATTTTAGTGTAAGTTTATGTGAGGTACAGCATTTTGGGTATTTCACAAGAAAATTTAAGTTAAGGGGTTTTTGCATTTTTGATTTCGTAAATAACTTAAACGTATACTGTCAGAGGAGTAGAAAAACTTCTGCATTTCTTTCGGTACCCTGGTAAAAATTGGCGATAGGAGCTGTGTTTCAAAATACCATAGGAATTCTTATAGCCGGCTAAAAAAGGCTACAGAAAATCATATAGCTGGCTGTAGAAGTGTAGAATGCGGAGAAAATCATACGGCCGGGCTATACGAAGCGATAAAAAATTATTAAGCCGGGCTATAGTTCTTATCGCCGGGCTTTACACTTTATCGCCTGGCTGTTGCTTTTTTGCCATCGATTATAAGAGGAAAAAATAAGATATTGTGTAGAGATTCGTGTGCTTTGGAAATCATTAAGTTTGATACGGAACCACCTTAGTACTTACAAAACTTACATTATATTTTCCTTTGATACATATTTTTTTTTTCATCAATTAAAATGAGAATAATCGATACAGGTTGTGCAAACATTTCAAAATCATGAGTTGAATAACGCTGACTCTGCCAGATTAAATATTAGAGCCTAACACAAAACGGAGCGGCGACTCACAAGCGCCTACAAACCTAACAGGGATACTTCACGCATTGCGCAACGCGTGAAGTATCCCTGTTAGGTTTGTAGGCGCCAATGCGCGTTTCTCGCTGGCTGCCCGCCTGCCGCACGGCAGCTTGCCACGGCGCTTGAAGCAACTATTTCACACTAGGGATATTGCACAGTATCATACGAAACTGAAGGCGCTCTAATATATTAGCAATGGCAGGCATCCATCAAAAGTACGGAGCTTTTCTCGCAGAATAAATCAAGATACTACGGCCCAAAAAGAGAGCAGTTGTCCAAAAACTCATTAAGTCCCAGTATCCGTAATTAGTAACGTTTAGCATACACTTTATCGCCTAGTTGTTGTTTAGTCGCCATCGGCTATAAACGGCTATAAGATATTGTGTAGCCGGCTATAGAAGCTATTGGAAATTGTACAGCCGGCTGTAGGCCTATGGTATTTTGGAACACAGATTCTACAGCCAATTTTTACCAGGGTAGTACAAAATTTCTGCTGAGTCTGTTCATTCATTTTGGTGCCCCTGAAGAAAAGTAACAATTATTTTTCTGAACATGTTTGGTTTTCAAAGGGGAAAAAATAAATAAAAGATTTTTACACACACAAATTTCTGATAGGAGAAGCAAAAATTCCATTCAAATCAACGAAAATATCAATAGAGTGCTTTTTTCCTAGCATCTTAATATATTAGAAACGGTTGCAATACTATGAATTGAGATGCACATTTCCCCTATTTTACTAGCGAAATATACGAATATATACGAAATATATAGATACCCACGTACGTTAACACGTCACCGAATGTGAACCGGAAGTTTCGTTTCATCCGACAAAGGTTTGGCTACACCGCATTGTGCACACATATCGTGGCGTATTCCAGGTCTCTTGGATGTAAGTTTACTCTGTAAAACTTCATGAACACGTCGTGACTAGGCCAATTACACCCTCGTATATTTAACCACAGTAATACGAGTCGCTCATCTGACAAATGTCGGACTTCATTCGGCAGATATAAAATTTGTCATTAATTAAACGCTTTCGATGCGGTGGTGGTCCCAGTGTTGACAGCTCTTGCAAATTTGATCATTTATTGTTATTAAGTTTACCGAAGTGAAGCAAAACTTCCATGAATCTGGATCATTTCTTGAAACGGCTCGTGAACTGCGATATCAGACTAATATCGTACCGAGATTCTTGGTTTCATGAAATGGATATTTCAGCAAGTAGTCCGCCTCAACCATGAATTCTGCTCCAATATCGAGACTGGAAAATGGAGGTAAAGTTTTCCCGGCCGTCTAGCAACGGCACGAGATCCATGCAGGAATAGAAAAAAAAATGAAAAAAATAATAATATAAAAAATAAGAGAATAAAAATAGGAGAAAGAGGGAAAACACACAAACAGGAAAGTCAAAACTAGACAGAAATGGAACACGAATATAGCGTCATGAAATTGAAATTTTATAGCTGAATGTCTCTGATAAAATTGACTGACTAACTTATAGTGTTGATACAACGGGGGAAAATGTTTTGTTTTATTTTTTTTTTTTATTTTTAAAATTTTTAGGCTGAGGGTCACATATTTCTTTCTCCCAAACCTTATCAAAAATTTGCGACTGATCATGTTATGAATCATTTAAGATGATCCGTGTTAAATTGAGTACCAGTTAATCAAATGGCTCCAAAAATTTCTGACTGAGGAAGCAAAACGTTTATTCAAATAAACGCAAATTTCAGTACTTGTGCTGTTTTCCAAGCATCTTAATACATTTTCCACGGAAGTAATTTACTTGTTAAAAAATGAACCGCAACGAAAAATAGCTGAGGTTTTTTTTAAAAATAAGTCACATTAAAATAAAATCAGATGTTCTTCTGCTCTGGAACCTTAACAAATAACTAATTTGTTCTTTTCCCCCAATTTATGCCTGTCATAGACATTTTTATGCATTTTTTATGAAAAATACTGTGCGACTCAAAAGTGTAAATGACGAATTATTGTATCTGCAACACAAACCCTCCCACCATTACCAAAATTCCCAAAATAAAATTATATTCTGCATGTCACTGGCCTCTTTCGTAGGAGTCACCAACCATCATCAAATTTTCCAAAAACCAGGTCGCTCCAGGAAAATCCCTCGCGCAATACATTTGGCAACGCAGGTTGGCGTGAGTGACAGCGACAGCGATCTCGTCAGCGTGCACTCGTCTATTGCAGCCGTAAAGTCTTTGACTGCTTGTCAGGAGAAAATTATCGATGAAGAGTGTAAAACTGTGTAAGTCACGCAACCGGCAGATGTGGACTCGAAATCCTCGGTTTCCCGATCGGCGACGGAAGGGACCCGCTCATATTTGGCAACACCGGCGGGCGTTTTAAAGCCTAATTATCAGCCGCGGATCCCCGGACCGAAATTTTGGCTCCAGGCCACCTCCCCCCTCCCTCCCTGCCGTAGGTGTCCTCTGCGTAATTTTACGCCCGTAAAATATTTTAATGCAGCCAGCGCGGGCGGAGCGGCGGCGGGGGAGGAGGGTGGCGCTGTAAAAAATGGAGAGAAAATCCCGGCAGAATCCGAGGCTCAATTTAAATGGTTTATGACGCGTGACTCCCGTTGAGGGAAGGCGGGCGGTGTTTTCCACGAGGCCTTCCAACCTGCCGGTAATTTGCTCATTTTTTAAGCCCCTCACTTGCATATTTTGGCTTGGGACTCACGGTTTCAGAGGGGAGCCAAATCAGAACAAGGAGCAGGGCTCGGTGGCAAGTCTTCCGTTTCGAAACTTTCCCGTGCTGCCGTGGTAAGGAAAAACGCCGTAAGAGTCTTTGGACGTTGCCAAATTTCCTTTAATAAATCACGAATTTTTGGGGAGATTTGTAAACGTTTTCCCACCAATTTTTCAGATAATTTTGTTCGCGATTCCAACTAAAGTTCCGGAAAAGTCCTAGGAGAAATACTGATAAATTTCCTCAAAAATAAACATATTACCGAAGGAAATTTGGCAACTCTCGAATGTTCATACGGCGTTTTTCCTTAGCACGGCAGCATACGGGAGGGAACAGATTCTTGCCGTGCGGTGGAAACGCCGTGTGAACATTCAAATGTTGCGAAATTTACCTCGATAAAATACTTATTTTCCAGGAAAGTCATGCTTATTTTTCCTCGAACATTTTCAGATACTTTAGATTAATTTCCGAACAAAATTATCTTACCAATATAAGAAAAACCATTTATAAGCTTTCCAGAATTTTTTTATTTTACTATAGGAAATTTGGCAACGGCCTGAGGCTCCTACGGCGTTCCTCCTAAGCGCGTGTGGCAAGATTGAACTTATGATTATATTATTGAGCGCTCCAGATACAGAATGAACAAATTGAGGAATATGTTTTTCAGGTGAAAATAATATTTCTCTG